CCATTAATACTTTAATAATGATTATTTTAAAAGGAGCACTCATTTATTTATATACTGAACTAATCATGTATCTGCAAGGACAGTGAATGTTCAAAACACCTGTGTGGGGGGTTGTCTTAATAATTAGCAAAATAAATTATAAGCAGAAGTTGGATGAAGAAATGTGGACTGAGAAGATGGTACAAGAAGATCATGTCATCTTTTGCCATGTCTTTATAATATAAAGTGGATTTAAAAATCAGTCAGTACTGTTATAGATCTCTTTATTTAAGATTGCTCTTTAAAGCTTCCTCCTCAGTTACTGACATTAGTAGGGTTTGGGCATTTTTGTTCTGATGGTGTTTTTTCATATTTCCCAACTGTTCTAATTTGGCAGAAATAGTTTCAATTAACCTTCCGTAGTCCCATTTTTCCAGTTATTTTTAAAATGTCCCATGTTTTCTTTCCTCCTCCCACTTTTCCACTTTGTTCTCCACTTACATCAATTGCTGTAAATTTGAGTTCACAGCACAAAAGTAGTGTGTGCAGAGGGGAGAGGACGGGGAGAATCTTACCTTCCCAGTGAGCTGAGGTTAAAGCAAACTGCTGCAGCCTCTCCTAGCTTGTGTGTTCTTCCTCATTAATAACTTCTGCCATGACCATAGTCTGATATTGGTTGGCCACACATGTCCCAGTTTTCATCTGTGAGATCTTGGAGGGTAAGTTGTTGTTATTATGTGCCTTCCAATGCACTCTGACTTATGTCCCCACTATCCTAGGGTTTTCTTGACAAGATTTATTCAGAGGATATTTATAGCTGTTTTACTCTTTAAAAATGTGACTTGCTCAAGGTCAACCAGTAAGTTTTCATGGTTGAACAGCAATTCAAACTAAGGTCTCTTAAGAATCCATGTGCAACACTTGAATCAACCACAGTTTATTTTAGTGTTGATACTGTATCCATACTCAAAACTTAGGGGCTTTTCTTTGGAGTAGTTTAGGTGTTACTGTCCCTTCCATGTAAATAAGTTATTTAAAAGATGCAAGGCTTCACTGCTTTTTTCCCCAGAGTAAACCAATCTCAGCCAGGAACACAAGTGTTCAGAAAAGGAAGACAGAAGTAATATTTTCATTTACAGATCTACACATACTAGTGTTCATTTGAAGATGTCATGATGGTTTGGTCAAAGTTAAAAAAGTAAAATAAGCAACAATAATATTAATATTTAGTGTTACTCAATTATTATATTATACTTATTACATACTTTAGTAATTAATGAAATAGCAATATTAAACATAAACATATATAACATATGTTTAATACTGATATTTCATTAACTGCTTTCCCCCCTCCCAATTCATTATGAATAAATATTTGGGATAGTATAAAACTGGTGTAGTGGTTCAAGCGTTGGGGGACTCTGGAGACCAGGGTTTGATTCCCACGTAGCCATGAAATATATGGTTTCAGTCTCAGGGGAAGGCAATAGCAAACCTCCTCTGAACAAATCTTGCCAAGAAAACCCTAGGATAGGTTCGTCTTTAGGGTTGCCATATATCAGAAACGACTTGAAGGCACACAACAGACATACATATACACATGCAAAACTGGCCAGTGCGCACCCTTGTCCTAAACCTAGAGGTTTAATTGGTGTAGATTCACACTTTCAACTGTGCAATCGTATACACACCTCCTCTGAAGTAACACTACTGGGTTTAATGGGACTTACTCCCAGGTAATATGTACAAGATTGTAGCCTGAAGCAGGAACATTCTTATTTTAAAACCTGTAAGTAAGGCTGCAGCCTTTGCACGGTTGCTTTGAAGTAACTTCCATTGAATTTGGTAGGTCTTTCTTCTGAGCAGACATGTCTAGCTTTGCACATGTTGTTCAGATCACATTCTTCTTGTGGGAAGTGGATCAAGAACTGTAGAAGTCAGGTCTGGTTTTTTGATAACTAGATGTGTTACTTTCCTGCGCTCAGGAAGTTGTGACGCAAGTCATGGGTTTGGTTTGAGGTTTTTGAAACCTTTTGTAAAGGCAATTGCCCTCCTGTCCTGTTGCATTTTGAAAAGTACTGGTGACGGTTCATGGACTGTGGAGGTATGCAGGTCAAAACAGAAATGCTTGTCAGACGTAATGGGAGGATTTTCATGGCTCTCTGTGTAATCCTCTTTACAGGATGCACAGTACAAGGTAAAACTGCAAATGCTTGTTCTTTTTGTATTTTCCTTTCTTAAGCTGTGTAGCATGGTATAGCAGAAGCCAGTCAGAGACTACTACACTTCTGTACATGTTTGCTCAGAGAAGTAAGGAAAGGCATCTCATAGCCCCTTTGAGACCGAGAGAAAGAAATTGGTAGCGGAGAAGTCAATTTAACTGACTTTAGTGGGCACTTCCCAGTTCCGTGGATATAAGACTGCATACTAAAATGTATGCTTCAACCTGTTCCAGGTAATGTCTCCCTTTTCCAAATGTTATGCTTAGTGATATATGGTAGCGGAAATGTCAGTACCATAATTCACTAGAGAATGCGGATATAACCTTGTAACCAGAATGAGTGGCCATTCTAAGGTGAAGCATTTTGTTGTTATAGTTGGTATCATTTTATTTAAAAATATTTCTAGATAGGTATAACTAGATATATGGATGAGTCCTTAAACATTTTTTCAAGGAGGAGATATCTCCTCCTGTTCTAGGAATGCAGGAGTGCACAGCCTTGAAAGACTGAAATAAGAAAAAGTGAAAGACTTAAATAAGTGGCAAAAAGGACACAAAGAGCCACACATTATTGCTCTAGAAAAAAGTCTTCTAGTTGGCTTTTAATGCTTTTGTGATGCCTTTATTTTCCAAGGATTTCAAGTGGTCTGTGGTTTGAAGAGTACATTAGGAAAGTGGTCAACCTCCCCACATTTCAAAATGAGATAGATATTTTTGAAGGACAAAAGATATCCTCCCCATCATATACCATCTTAACTAAAAACCAGAAAAACATGTAGGCATCTGACTAACATCTCCAATTGTTTTTCTCCTGTTTGGTTTGTAACATCTTGCCTGATGAAGAAGCCCATGGAGCTTAGAAAGCTTGCAACAAGTATATTGTGCATTTTGGTTGGCCAATAAAGATATCACTGACGGATTTTTGTTTGAATTTGCTAAATGGCCAACACAGCTATTCCTGAATGTTTGATGGATTATGTTAGTTATCACCAATAACTAACAGCGTAATGCGAAACCATACTCCACATGGCAGTCCACAGATGCAATGGATCTGTGAACTGAGAGGAGGGGAAATCACATGGCGTGTGGGAATGCACTAATGGTGGGCAACGGTTGAGTAAAATATAATGCATTTAGTATTCAAGTATAAAGAGATATCATGGAAGGCCTTAGAATAACAAGTTCTTTCCAAACATAAAGTAACTTGATACTTTAACATCATAAAGTTCTAGTCTCTGTAAATTAAATGTGTAGACCTAGCCAGACTTGGAAGTACATTTCACTAGCAATGCAAATTAATTCATGTTGGCTGGAAGGATTCTGGAGCTGTATTCCAAAATAACTACTGCTTCTGCTACTTTTTTTCTAGCTCTGCTTTTACCTTTATTTAAATATTGCCTTATATTATATTACTGCCAGTAACAGTAGTTTAAGATATAGCATGTGGGTTACAGAAATGTTTAATGTGAAACACATGTACACCTCTTAACCCTATATTGTTTTGTATTGACAATATTTAAATCTCTCACTTACCTTAGCGTGCACTTATTTCAATTACACTTCAGTGTCAATAGTAACTTAAAATGTACTGGACTTCATGTTTACTTGGAAACACATTGCACTGAATTTAATGGGGTTTAACTACAAATAACTGATATAGCTTAAATCTGCAATCCAAAATGGACTAACTTTTAAGCAAATATTTTGAGGATGAAAATGCCAATTGCACTGAGGTATAATTTGTTCGCTCTCTGAGCTTTTTCTAAAGAATGAAATATGTTGGTAATCAACTGGTAAATGTGGAGAATGGTAATTTGATGAGGGAAAAAGTATTATGCTAACCAATTGCCTCTATGGTATATCTACATATTTTATTGCCACATTTGAACATCTCTTTAATGTATCCTGACTGAAGTATTCTGCTTCACTTTATTGTTCTAAAAAGCAGGCAAACAAAGCAGAAAAAATGGGACAAAGTACTGTAAAATTACCTCTGAAACTAGGATTATGATGAATTACATACAAACAAACCAGGATTTGTTGGCCAGGGTTTGCTGTAGACTTTTGCATCAAGGCTTTGTTTGAGTATGCTGAACATATTTAACTTGATGTTATTTATCCCCAATTTATTTATCTGGGATTTATTAAACAGGGTTCCTGGCTTAAAGTAGTGATGAACATGACCATGTACTTTTATTGGTTTGCTTATGGTTTTGAACAAAATGGCAAGATTTCAAATAACATCAGCTTCCCCTAACATTAGGGAGAATAAGGTGGCTGCCTTGAGCAGCAGTTTTGGGGTGTTATGAAGGAACTGTTTACTCTTACATGCCTGTATTTTTACTATTAGGAGAAGAGGAGTGGTGCCTGTGAGAGTTTTCTGCCTCTGGTATCAATAGTATTTGACTTGCCCAGTGTATTATGTAGTTTGACTTTGGGAATATGTTTCTTCTGCCTCAGGCAGCAAAATTTCTTAGGCCCGCCCTGCAACTTCCTCTGTTAAGGCTTCAGGTCTGTTTGCTAATAGTAAAGGAAATTTGTATAAGTGTGAAGAAACTGAGGCTGTGTTCCTAAGAGATCATCACACAGGATATGTGCAGCACAATCCTACGCATGTCAACTCCTCTCAGTGGGACTTTGTTGTTGTTGCTTCCGATTTATGGAATTTCTGACTTATGGTGAACCTAAGGGAATCCTATCAGATGGCTGTCTTGGCAAGATTAGTTCAGAAGGGTTTGCCTTTGCCTTCTTCTGAGGCTAAGAGAGTGTGACTTGCCCAAGCTCTCCAGGTGGATTCTGTTGGCTGAGTGGGGATTTGAACCCAGGTCTCCAGAGCTGTAGTCCAATGCTGAAACCATTAAACCATGCTGGCTCTCAGTGGGACTTACTCCCAGATAATCTGAATAGCAGTACAGCATAAACAGCTAAAAGGAAATGCAATTAATAATTAGACACCCTAGATTTATTTATATTAGGGTTTATCCTACATTTATCCTGTATTCTAAAGTCATTTTTAAAAACCTCTTCAATGTGGCCAAAATGGTACCCATCAACACTGAACGTGGAGGTAGCAACAGGCTCAGGGGAACACCAAAGTTTTCAGAAGTAAATTTTTAAAAATGAAAATGCACTAGAAGACAAGGATGAGCTGAGCAACTCTGGCCTTCAAAATGTTTTTGGATTCCACCTCCCATAATCCTTCATCATTGTTTATATTATCTCACGAAGTTGTATGTTGGCAATCATCTTGAGGGCCACAGTTGCCAACCCTCCTTTAAGGAATGATCTCCCAAAAGCAGTTTGGTAAGGACTGAAAATGGAACAATGATTAATAGCTGGGGGATATGAGAAGGGTGGAAGAAATATCATTACTAGCCAGTTGTTACCTGAATGCTAGGGTGGCCAGATGCAAAAAAGTTTGCATAACAAGCTACACTTGCAGAAATGCTCTTTTACAAACCTTTTAATCACGTCCTCTTTTGCCTCTGTCCATCTTACACCATGCTGTAATGTTCAGTTGCAAGTTCCATGTGTAAGATTTCTAATTTTCAAGTTACTCTTTCCTGTGGGTTAATTAGAGAGAACTGTAGGTACTACTGCAATACTATTGTAGTCCTATAGAAAGAACTTATTTTATGCTATAGGATTTGCTTGAGTTAATGCAGCTACATACTTTCATAGTTCTTTGGATCTCCTAAGCTAGCGCCTATAACAGATTCTTTAAAATAGTCAGTTTAAATTGAATTTTTGAATATGAACTGTGGATATTGAGCAATAATAGTGCAAAGAAAAACAAAATATGTCCATTTTCAATAGACATTCCAAATAGTACAGTATTTAATTTAATTTAATCACTCCAGGCTTCTCAAACATTGAAGGTACAGGCAAGACATTTGTTGTGAAAATTCAGTCTAACTGAAGGTAAAAAAACAAAAACAAAACACACACACACACACACACAAAACCAGCAACAAAAGATGGGTACAAGTAAGAAGTTTGCAACGTAGACATTTAATACTCCTAAGGAGAGGAATGAAGTTTTAAATCCACAAATAATTCTGCAGTTTCATTCTACTCGTTTGAACTTCAAACACAGGGAAGGGTAAAGTACCCGTATTTTCTGGCGTATAAGACGACCTCCAACTGTTCCAGTTGAAATATAGAGTTTGGGATATACTCGCTGTATAAGACGACCCCTCTTCCAACGGGGGAAAATGAGAAAGTGTTGGGGGGGAAAGGACTGCCAGTATACTAGGTGATGCATTCTGGGGTATGTACAATTTGCGGCCAAGTAAGTGACCTTGGGCATGTCACACACTCTCAGCCTCAGAGGATGGTAATGGCAACCCCCATTTGAAGAAACATACCATTCTTTAATGATAAGGTTGCCTTAGGGTCACCATAAGTCGGAAAGGACTTGAAGACACACAAGAACAACAAAAAGTCTGCAGTTGTTTCATTGGTAGTACATGCGAATAGGTGCTAGTATGGTGTAGTGGTTTGAGTGTTTGACTACCACTCTGGAGACCTGGGTT